CCTCTGGGGATCTGTGCCTCCTTGGCCCTTTGGGGATCTGTGCATCTGTGTCCCTCTGGGGATCTGTGCATCTGTGTCCCTCTGGGGATCTGTGCATCTTTGTCCCTCTGGGGATCTGTGTCCCTCTGGGGATCTGTGCCTCTTTGTCCCTCTGGGGATCTGTGCATCTTTGTCCCTCTGGGGATCTGTGCATCTCTGTCCCTCTGGGGATATGTGCATCTTTGAGCATCTGTGTCAACAACTGGTCTTGGCTCTAAGATCAGTCAGCTCCTCAGAACAGCCTCAATGACCATAGAACCCAGAGAAGCTCCCATAACCTTATCTACCATTCCTTACCACAGGGCGTTAGCTCATTCTCTTCAAAGTGCTTTCGTTGTGTACTGGAAATCGCCCTGCCTTCCTCTCTGAGCATATAAAATGCCTCATCCACCTGGTTCACTGCAATGCCCACAACACGCCAGCAAGCCTTCTGTGTGTGGGAACGAATAAATGTCCAGAACAGCTGAAATCAGGAACTATAGGTGGCTCAGCACAATGCTCAGGGTCAGATCTGCAGCACTGAGTAATTATAGCTTCTTTGGTTATTTTACTGGTCTTTAAAACTAGATCAGAAGACTAAATTGTCCTTCTACTGGTTAACAGCAACAACATAGATTACTGTTTGGGATGGAGAGACACTGTAATTATAGTCACTATATTGTCAGAAAATTGTAAATATTAATAAAAATTTGAGTTATGCAAACTTGAAGAAAAAGGCCAAACCTGTGTGACACAGCAAAGTAGTAATCAAGGTGCTGGCAGTAAGCTGTCCCCAAATATCCTGGTTGTCCTCCGCTACCAGATACCTGACGGGATTACAATGCACCCTGAACCCAGAGCATGAGTGTGGCCAATTAATGACACATATTAAGACCACACATATTAAGCCTCCACCATCCCTCGTTCTTGAGTGACTACAAGAGCAGAGCCCCAAACTAATCCACACAAGGTATAAAGCAAGACAGCGTCTGGGCTTGCTTGTTATCTCAGCACAACGGAGATCTCCTGGCTGTTATAGCAACAGACCACTCTGACCAAGAACCTAGGCTGCAGAATACCATGGGCTGTTGGTATGAGAGCTCTTTCACTTGCTCTTGGAATGGCTATGGCTAGCCAGGACCACCTCTCTGGGCCTTAATGTCTTCCTTCACCCACAAAGTGAAAATTATAAAACCTGCACTTCATAGACTGCTTGCAAAGACTGAATTAATAGGAGAACAGATGTACTGTGTTCAACAAAGTGTTTGGGATCTGTAGTAAGCAATAAATACAAAGTGGAATTTAACCCTGGCATATCTATGCTAAGCAACATTATACCTATTTATACTATTATGTCACTAAATAATACAGAAAACTGGAGAAGATCACCAAAGTTAAACATAGATGATTCCTAACTGGTTTGACTTAAAATTTTTGACAATGGGTTTATCAGGACATAACCACACAGAATCCCAAGGAGCAAACAGTTGGGGTTGGTGTGGGATGCTAATGAAGAAATAAAGGATAGCTATGATCCAAGGTTGGAAAGAATGGAAAATGGGGGAAAGATGACCGTGATTACTCCTCTGCTGCCAATCAGGCACAGTCACAATCATTGGAAATAGTCACAACCATTCCAATGTTGCTTAGCATAGACATGCTGGGCTCATGGAGGAGGAGCAAGGGTTCACCCCAGCTGTGCCCCACCCAGATGAAAGAGATGGCAAAAGGTTAAGTCCTGAATGATGAACGGAGGGGCAAGGAAGAAAAACACAGAACATGTGCTCTGGGGGCTGGCGGAGCTCCAGAGTGGGCTAGAGGAGTACCTGGCCAGCAACCTCCAGGAAGGACTTAGGGGCACACCAACACGACTGAGTGTGACTTAACAGTCAGCGTGCAAAACACAGGCAAGTCCTGAACTCTACTGCTTCTCCTACAGAACTGCTCACAGGCAATATGGTGAGACCCTGCCCAGGAACCTCATCTGGACACTCAACTGGTCCACCCATGTGATGGAAATGAGTCCACGCTAGAGTCTTACAGACCACGCCCATCACAAGTCAGACTGACTGCTGATGCCCCATCAGTTCCTAGAGAAAGTATTCCAACCATAAAATAATCTCCAGATTTTAATTATAAGTTAGTTAATCTTGTTCAAGTTCAAACTTTTTTATGGCTGATTTTTGTTGTGCAGTTATTTTGAAGTTTTTAAGTGACTGCTCAGTTTCAGTGGCTGAAAATGAGTCACAAATACAAAAGCAAAGACCATAAACTCGTCTAAATACTTCTTAACTTTTAAAAATCACAAAGACAATTGCTGGAAAACACCAGTGGAGTTAATGTCATGACATAATGCTGAAACAGAGCTGAAATGTTAAAAGTTTTAGTCTCAAAAAGTGGGAATGTTTTATAATCCAAATAAAATTGTCATCACTGCCAGACCATTTAAATTATACCCAAATCGGAAATGTGTTAAGCAATGGAAACATGACAGGACACTTTTCCACTGATACTTGGCTTTTGGCATCAAAGGAAGCCTCTATAGATCCAATATTAAAACTTTTCAAAAGTAAAATGAAATTGTAAAAGAGCCAAAAAATGAAATGGCTATTGATACAACTCTTTTTGAAATAGCATGTGGACTTTTAAAAAATAGAAGTTTGATACAAATGGAATGTTAAAGCAAAAAAGTTGAGGTATCAGAAAAAAAAAAAAAAAAACTTCTAATTTGATGGTGCCTAAGAAGTTAGAGCATATTTAACCCTAAGGTTAACTGCAGGCACCTCAGATAAATGAACACAGACTAACAATGCAGCAAGAACAAAGGCAATTATTTAAATTCTTCTTTGGAAACAGTCACAATCATTCCAACCCAGAACAAACTCCCACAGGCAGCAGAAAGCTAACCCCTCTGCGTGACCAGGCTCACATTAAGAATCAATCTTAAGTTAGCACAATAAATGAGACTTAGGCCACATATGAACACACCTCCAAGGGACGATGATTCAAAACTCCCCTCTGCTTTCTCCCTGCCCTCTCACTATTTAAAAAATAATTTGCCTTCAAAAGCATGTCAGTAAATCTTCAAGTTCTAAAATAACAGAAACCATATGTCCCATGTGCTCACCAGATTCATTTTTATGAGGTATAGTCCTCTGCATTAAAATAAAAATATTTCTGATAATGAAAGTAATGAAATCAAAGGCTCCATTCCAAAAATTCCACCCCTCTCACTGTAACATGGAACCAAATCTATTAAACTTTATCACCTAATGAAATTAGACTTGTGGTTTCTAGTTATAAGCACCAGTAAGTGGTAAAAAGGCATCTAAAGTTTTGATAAGACACACAAACTTTTTTCAAGTCTTAGACTTTTAAATAAGATGTTAAAAAATTAAATATTTCATACCTTGGAGTCTGTTCTCTTTTTTTTTTTTTGGTCTTCTTGAGACAGGGTCCCCCTGTAGCCCCCTGACGGCCTGGAATTCTCTATGTACACCAGGCTGGCCTCCATCTCATAGAAATCCACCTGCCTCGGACTCCAAGGGCTGGGATTAAAAGCATTGTGGCACTGTGCCCAGCTGTTCGTATTTTTAAAATGTGTTTACGAAGATTTTTAAGAGACAATGCTTCTGCCATCCATAAATTTCTTTGACATTGAAATGATATTGAGACCCAAACAAGAATATTGCTCTAGAATATATTAAAACCACAAAGCTGATTCTACTTATCAGAATCCCCTCAAGGTTAGAGAACTATCCATAGCAGAATAGTTTAATCTCCAGGTAATCACACACCCTCCTGCAAGCAGAGAGAAACACATCTTACATTTCAGTATCTGCCTTCCTTAGTCTACGGAAAGACTTTCAAGGACAAAATATTTAAAAGTTTCTGTTTGATCAGTTGCAGTCTCTAAAAATAACTTTCAACGTCCCTTCTTCAATCAATGAAAGATTACGGCATAAAAAGTGCTGAAAAGGAAGGCTTAATTAATAAGCTTTAAACAAAGAAACACAAAACCTCACACTGGAATGTGGTGGAGAGAGGTTAAAAAAAAAAAAAAGTATCTGAGCTAAAATCCCTAAGAAGGAATCTCACTCAGGACCCAAAGAAATACCCTCCCAGACCAAGCAAGGCACACGCCACCCCACACGCAAATGCACACGTTGAAAGCAGCAAACTCAGACATGGTGTTAGGAAACAAAAGCAAAAACCTAGGAGGAATGAGGGTATATGTTGCTGTCTTTTAAAATCAAAGGGCTGGTCTAACATCTAGGTCATGAATTTGTATAAATTTTTATTTTTAAACTCACCTGGTTCATTTTCAATTCCTGTTGTGTTCTGTAAAGATACACACAACAAAGAAACTTCTTTGATTACATGAGCCCTAAAAAGAAAAACAGACAATTGTAATATGTACCTGCCTACAAATTGACAGTGATTTAAAACCACATCAGAACTGCAGAGTTCGCTCAAGGGGCTGTTCGTAAAGCATCTCCGTGTCAGATCCGCTTCAGTCTATACTGACAACTTCTCAGATTTATTACCCACAATACAAGAGGTTTCTTACTAAACCTTACTAGGGTTTTGCTGTACTCTACAATCGAAAACAGAATCATCAGAGTAACATCAAAGTTTTGCTTTAGAATTGCATCATCCTAAGAAGAAATAAACTAGCTGTGTTAATAGAAACACAAAGCCTGGAGAAATACTGGTTAAGGCAGACAGGCCAGGCAGTGTCCGTCTTTCGCTTTCAGTACTGTGCGGCATGCAAACACAATTAGACCCCAGTTCTTTGTTTTTCAAGTTCCTGAAGCAGAAAGGTGGATTTACTAACAAGGACCGTGGGAAATCCTCCTTGAGGAAAGGACAAAACCTTACAGTACCCTGCAAAGGCGTCAATAAAGAGGTTTGGAAAGAGCTCCAATTCGGACTTTGAAATGTTGCATTCTACATATCCATAGCACAGTAAAGAACACAACAACAAAATCTTTTCTTGTAAACACATATGGCATATACCTCATAATGACAGTTCAGTCAACAACTGACACATACGCGCTAGGCATTCCAGGAGTGTGCTGCCTCACAGTGCAGCAGTGGTCCCAGCGAAGTTGCATTAAATACATTTAGGATTTTCACAGAGATGAAACTTCCCAATGATGCATTCTCAGAGCACATCCTTAAGCAGTGAACCATTTCTAAATAATAATCTATTAGCCAGGTATGGTCTAATACACCTGTAATTCCAGCACTCAGAAAGTGGAGGTAGGACATCAGGTCCAGGTCAGCCTGAACTACATGAAACTTTGTCTCAAAGAAAGAAAAAAGCACTTAGAAGGTGAGGGTAGAAGGATCGGGAGTTCACAAAGAAGCTAAAAACACAGATCTAAAGCTATAATGTAAGCTTTGAGTCGTTTGGTATCGTTCACCTACGGAAACCATACTTTAAGCAGAAGCTGCACTGTAGTCCTCTAAATGGCTCCACACATATGCACACATCGCCACCGAGGATCATGCTCTAGAGCTTCATGCACCTACGACCTTCCCCTTCTTCCATGACCCACAATACACCACCTACATTGTAACCTTCTGTTCTGTTACTAACCCAAGGAATATGTGATTTAAAGGCATCCTTCACACTAGAAAACTACGAAGCCTGCTGATCTGACGTCACAGTTTACTCCAGTTCTATAATAAGGAGAGCTGACTTTTTTGTTCTTTCCTGGAGCTACTGAACCATACGCACCTGATCACCTCTCATGAGCAAGATACCATATTTAAGTTTGGCTCTGCTCATCTGAACTAACTTCTATATGTATTGTGTCCAGGGAATGTATTCCCTAATGATGTATCTTACCAGGTCAATATAAACTCTTAGTATACAAATATTCAGTGGATAAAATAGGGTAAGTAAAGGGCTACCATGAAGCCAATTTCTTTTAAGTTTATTATGAGCATCTGTCTCACATACATTTAGCATGACCGTGTGTGTGTGTGTGTGTGTGTGTGTGTAATATATTAAACATAATTGATCCTGTTGACTGGGACTTCAGGTTGCTATCACATTTAAAATGTGGATTTGGGCCAGGCGTGGTGGCGTATACCTTTAATCCCAGCACACAGGAGGCAGGCAGGAGGATCTCTGTGAGTTCGAGGCCAGCCTGGTCTCCATAGTGAATCCAGGACAGCTGGGGCTACAGGGAGACCCTGTCTCTAAAAGACCTAAAAAAAAAAAGATTTGGGATATGAAGGGGTAATAAGGTTCATGGCCTCTTAGGTACACACAGTGCAAATATGTGGCCCCCATATAGATGCTTGTAGATTACCATCAGTTCTACCAGGCCAGGAGATACCTCACGCTCAGCTTTCTCTTGTAGTCTCTTGAAGCTTTAAGAGGTAAGCTTAGGAATTTGGCCAAAGGGAGTTTTCTTTCGGAAACAGACAAAAAAATTATGCAGTAAAATGTAGTGTTTACTGAGAGATATTTGGAGGAAGCAGGAGCTAGGCTGCGTGCCACTTCCCCTCCCAGACCCGTGAGGCATCTTCCAAGGACCAGGAGGCACTGTGTGGCTTTGCACACTGCCTGGTGCTCTTCACTGAGATAGTAGCACCGTCAACCAACAACACAGCTTTAAGCAGGTTGTGTACATGGCCAAGAGCCTACAATTCCAGTCTCTGCATTTCCCTGTTTGATTTTCTGTTTATCTTGTTAACTGCTTCCCTGGGGCAGTCACGTATCATAGAACTGGCTCAATGGAAATATACAGCTCAAGAATATTTTCGATATTCAGAGTTGTGCAACCATCACCACAACCAATCACAACACTTTTATTGGTACAAAAAAGAAACCTCGTACCCACTGGCACCCCTCCTTCCCACTGCTTAGCTGGCACTACTAGGCAACTTCATGGAGTTGTCAATTATACACATCTCATGTTGTCAAAAGAAAAACTGGCAATGTGAAGACCTTAACTGGCTTTATTTTTATTCTAGAAATTAGGCAGCACTGCATTCCATAAAACAGAGTTTGTGTATCTTCACCTGCCTGCTATTCCTGCTCCTGCAAACCCACTCTGAAGGTACTGCTCACTCTCCTGACAAAGACCAAAGGGGAGATCCCTGACCTCTAGGGGAGGGGGCACTGTGAAGAAATACAGAAAATACAGGACACGGAGAAAGTGCTGCAGAGAAACAGGGAGAAGTTAGGCAGGGAGATGGGGCTGCACTCTCTCCCTGTCTCCACACATGCCAATCCAACAAGCTGGGATAAGGGGGTGAAGTAGCTCTCTCAGGAAAGCTCAAAAGAGCTCTGGCCTGAGAAGGGGGTGTGTGGGGTGGACAGGAGCATCAAAAGAAGCCAGAAAGTGAGTGCAAAGTCTGCAGACAGCAGGAGGCCACCACCTAGGTCAGGAAACAGATGGTGCTGCTTTGGTTTGGTGGAAAAGGAGATAAAGTTACTGTATCCTGGATAAATTTTAAAAATAGAGCCACTACAGCTGGAGAGATGGCTCAGCAGTTAAGAGTACCAGCTGCTCCTGCAGAGGACCTGGTTCAATTCCCAGCACCCACATGGCGGCTAAGAATGGTCCATAACTCCAGTTCCAGGGGATCCAACACCCACTTCCGACATCTATGGGCATGCGGGTGTACTTGCATGCAGGCAAAACACTCACACAGCTAAAATAAAAATAATAAATGAAATATTAAAAAAAGAACCACTGAGTTCAGCTGCTGGATTAGAGATAAGTCATAAAGGGAACCGGGATGAACTGGGTCTCCGTCAGAAGGGCAGGGGAGGGCAGAGCGGCTGCTCCAAGCTGAGGCCTCTTCCCACCCGCTTTCTATTTGTTCTTCCACCTTTCACATTTTTCTTCTTTCCTTTTCTTCATCCTCTGTAGTAGCTAGCTCACAGGAATGATTCAAACAGCTGAGCTATCTGATACCTGACACTGGACAGCTAAAATAGTACAGTAGTTAAAACATTTCATTCTTTAAGCTCCTAACACTTTTTTTTAAAGTTTACTATCTGGCCCGGTGTGGTAGCGCATGCCTTTAGTCCCAGCACTCAGGAGGCAGAGGCAGAGGCAGGTGGATCTCTGTTAGTTCAAGGCCAGCCTGGTCTACATAAGGAATGCCAGGCCAGCTGGGGCTCAAAGGAAACCCTGTCTCAAAAAGACCAAAAAAAAAAGAAGTTTATTGTCTACCAATCTGCAAAGACCCTCCTGTCACTTCTAGAAAATCAGATCCTCATTTTGACTTTCTACCTCTTGATTCCCAAGACGGTAAATTCTGTGTCTGGAATTTCCAGGTCAGGGAGAAGGCTCAGTTGGTAAAGGTACCTGCTGTGAAGCCAGACGGCCCAAGTTTAATCCCAGAACACATGGCAGGAGAGAACCGACTCCCATAGTGGTCCTGACCTCCATATTCACACTGTGGTGCGCGCGCGCACACACACACACACACACACACACACACACACAAATACATGTACGATTTAAAAAAATATTTCACAATATCAAACATGTTGCAAATCTGGCACTGATTTCTCAGCTGATTTTTCTGCACATGTGTTTGTGGTGTGGGCATGTACATATACATTTACATGTATGTTGGCACACTTGTATTCAGGTGCCTAAGCGTGGATGTAGAAGCCGGAATTGACATCGGGTGTCTTCCTCAACTGCTCTCCCCTGCACCCAGAGCTTGTCTAATCAGCTACTCGAGGTTGCCCTGGGGATCCCGACGTCTCCACCTCCTGAGCACTGAGATCACAGGTGAGCCACTGTTTTTATGCTGGTGCTAGGGATCCATAACCCAGCTCTCACACTTTTGCAGAAAGCACTTTATCCACTAAGCCACCTCCCCTGATTTTTTTAGGTTAAATTCTGTATTAAAGTATGCTAAAGTAAAGCAAGTATGGTGGTACATTCCTAACACCCCAGTTACTGTGGTATATGCCTGTGTCTCCACTGCTTGGGAGGCCAGGCAGGATGATCTTTTTTTTTTTTTTTTTTTTCCTTTTTGATCCAGGTCTCCCCATAGTCCCAGCTGGCCTGAAACTCTCTTGTATACCAGGCTGGCCTTGAACTCACGGAGATCTGCCTGCCTCTGCCTCCAGAGTGCTGGGATTAAAGGTGTGCACAACCACGCTCAGCCTAGAATGATCACTTTTGAAACTAGTTCAAGACCAGCTTGAGCAACCTAGCAAGACCCTATCTTTAATAACAGCAAAAAAAAGGAGACCTTGGACATCTCTCCACAGGACCACTGTGTGCTGCACTGGACAACTCCCAGTGTGAGACTGTCTCTTTCATGAATGACATTCAGTACTGTCCTATGCAATCAATGTCAGCCTTGAATCACTTTTACAACTAAAAATGCCTGAGT